TTTTAAAGAGATGTGGGCAAATACCAAAGCCTGTTTCTGTCAAACTGCAGATATTTCAGGAGCAGTGGTCTCACCCTCCTTAGAGTGTCACCTGGTGTAGTCTGCACCCCCAGCACCCTCTAGTGATGCCACTGCATAGAGTTGTATTGGAGATTCCTAGAGAGGGTATTTTCTCTGGGGGAAAATAGTGAGTTTTCAATTTGCATTTTTTTCCATTTTCAAAGGGGTCCTAGGCCCCTAACCCCAGCAAATTTGGAGAGTCCACTGTAGTGAGTATTCTGCCAGCTATGTGTCTCATCCCTCACTCCTCCAGCTATACATGTACAGTGGGAATGCTCTGTTAAACTGGTAAACACAAACTTTATATTCTAAGGATATTTTTCATACTGTGTCTGGATGGTCCAGCTTTGTGTTGTCTGGTTATTTTATTTGAGGTAAACAATAAAGCAGACAATCTGCTGCTCTGTAAATCTTTTACCTCTGCCTGTTATTTTCTTCCATGAATAAAGTTATATTGCCCATTAGAGGATTGTTTTCTGGCTTACCATGTCAGTCTAATGGAATGTGTCCAGAATGAAGACACATTAGATTCAATAGGATTTAGTTCCAAGCCACCATGCATGAGACTGAAACCTTTGTCCATTCAGACAAATAAAATCTATGTCAGGAGAAAATACTCAGGGGTTTTTTATGTAGATAAAGTAAAAACAGATCCTACGATAACATATGTCAATCTAAACAAGTATATTCAGAAGGAAATCCAGTTCAAATCAATCAGAATTGCATCTGAGCCTCTCTTCTTAAACCTGATGCTCCTATCCTTTGAGAGAAAGTATGAGTCAGGGAAAAATACTCAGCTTCTTGTGTGAATAAACCAAAACCAGATGCTTTAGTACAAGAACACATGATTCAAACAGTTGCACGTCCTTAAGTCTCTGGAGTCACATCTGTTTCACTGGTATTCATATGAAAGGTCATTTTCATATATGATAAAGCAAACTTTGCTCTCACTTTCATGGATGCAGATCCAGTGAATTGGGATTTGAACGTGTGCAGTGTATGTCACAATTTGACTAGCAATATTCCCCCTCCCCGCCATAGTATGTGAGATATAATTTGAACACTATGTCTTCTCCTAAATGCAATCTCATATACAGTTTTACAGTCTGGTTGCTTTCATTGGCCTTGCAATTTAAAACATCTAGAGAATCTAAAGTGGCAAATGAAGAGTGAGGAAGGGAAGGGGCAGAGCTGAGCAGTACTCACTTTCATGGATGCAAATCCAGTGTTGTTCATGAAAAAGAAAAGTTGCTTCTTTAGGAAAGAATGAGGAAGACTCCTGTCTGAAACCCTGGAAAAGTTCTTGCCAGTAATGTGGTATAAGACTGCTTTTTGAGTTCAGAATGGATAAGTACTCTTGGAAATCATTTTATTGCTATGAGGGTGTCCACTTGAAAAAGATAAAACTGCACCTTCAAAAACTGCATGGATGATATTAATTGTCCTACAGATACATTTCAGCAAGTATAGTTTGTATGAGAGAGTCAACATTGTGCATTGATTAGACTAAGGCTCTGAGAGATCAGACTTTGAATCCCCACTCAGTTATGGAAACCCATTGGTCATACCCTCTCAACCTTAGAGGAAGGCAACAATAGCAAATACATTTCTATACCACTTATCAGTGCACTTAAGCACTCTCTAAGCCAGGGGTAGGCAACCTTTCCCCTTTAAGGGCCGAGGGACTTCAGCTCCCAGAAGCTTCAGCCATGTTGGCCAATAGTCCCACGTTGGCCAATAGCTCCTGGGATTCTGGGAGATGAAGTCCCTTGGCCCTTAAAGGGGAAAGGTTGCCTACCCCTGCTCTAATCAGTTTATAATGTGCAACTAATTGCCCCCAACAATCTGGGTATTCATTTTAGTGACCTCAGAAGGATGCAAGGCTGAGTTGATCCTGAGCCCCTGGTTGGTATTGAACTCACAACCTTATGGTTTGTGAGTGAGTGGCTGCAGTACAGGTATTTAACCACTGCGCCACCAGGATTCCTTTACTTTATTCAGAGTATATATCCTCTCAATAAATCTTGCCAAGAAAATCCTACAAGAGGATTGCCATATGTTGGAATCAACTGAAGGCAAACAACAAAATTTGAATGGCAATTGTTTTTCCCATGCAACTATTAAATGTACAGGAGCCCTGACCTTTTTTTTTTAATGTGCTCATCCTAATTAAGCAATGAAACATGTATCAAACCAGTTTTGAACAACTTTAGCCAAGAAAACCCCATGATAGTGTCGCCTTTGTTGTGATGTTGTTGTATGCCTTCAAGGCATTTCCACCATATGGCAACCCTAAGGCAACACTATCATGGGGTTTTCTTGGGTAAAGTTGTTCAAAAAGGGTTTGCCATTATCTTCCCCTGAGACTGAGAGCATGTGACTTACTCAGGGTCACCCAGTGGGTTTCATAGCCAAGCTGGGAATCGAACCCTAGTCTCTAGAGTCATAGTCCAATACTCAAACCAATGTGCCATGCTGGTTCTCCAGTCTATCTTTGCCAGAATGCAAAGGCATAACTGTGTTAGTCTATATTAAAGTTTGTAGGAAAAGCTTTCATAGAGGCAGGTATAGCTCCACCATGCCTAGCCCAGAAGCAGATGAAAGACCCTCTTTCCATTTTAACTGCTACCAACCTGGCCTTGAGGGAAAGAAGAAGCCTAGCTCAGAGACAGATGAAGGGCCCTCCCTCCATTCCATCTGCCATCATCCTGGCCTTGGAGGCAGGATACAAAAGTTTCTCAATGGGAGTGAGAGACTTAGAAGTTCTGATCCCTTCTTTATCTCTTTGTTTCTGACACACACAAGCCTCCCTCTCTCACCCAGATATACATGTACGTGCACATGTGTGTGTACACACACACATACACATGCTCAGCTGCATGCTTTTTCTTGCTTGCTTTCTCCCTCACACCTTCTTAGCCAGTTAATTCTTACACATACTGTCTCTAGCCATGGTCTCTCTTCTTCCCTCACAGATACTGATTCACACACATTCTCACACTCTCTCACATGCGAATTCTCCCTCACACACAGATACAAACACTATGACACCTGTCACAGATGCATTAATTCCCTCCCACACCCTTGTTGCCTCCCTCAGTGTGCAAGTGACTTTCTTGCACACACACACTAATTCTCTCACATATATTCAGTAATGCTCTTTTTTACATTCTTTCCCTCAGATATGTTCATTTACACACAGTCCCACACAGAAATACATAAATATACACACACACACCTTCATATCTTCAAGTCACACTCTTCATATCTTTTTGTACATATTGCAATATGCACTAGTGTATACTTGCATATACGCAAGAGAATGAGTGTTTCTGGGTGATTGTATGTGTGAGAGAGTTAATGAGTATGTGTGTGAGTGAAAGAAAGAAGGAAAGAGCATGACTTGGTGTATACATATATGTATGACCATTGGTGTATATGAGTGTGGTTGTGTGAGAGATAGGATGTGTAAAATTACACATGTGTTAAGTATTGAATGTATTTAAATAAAACTGCTCTAAGTTAAAAAAAAGTTATCTTGTTATAACATGTTAAAAATGAATATACATTGATGTGTGAATGAAAATTGCACACTAAACAAAATATTTTTATTCATATACCACTTTTATTTATATATCATATATATTATTCATATGCAGGCAATGTCTGCATGGAGATTTAAAGGGGGTCACAAAGAGAAAAAGTTTGAGAACCACCCTATATTCTGCTCTTTCCCTTTCAGCTGGAGATGAGAAGGCTATATTCTCAACTGTGCTCTTGTTGTCCAAATATGTACAGCTTTGCTAATATGAAGAATAGCCAGAGCTTGTAAATTTAGGAGCAGGAAGAGAAAGAAAGGAAAGGGTATTTAAATAACTTATTCCTGTTGTTATTATTACTGTGTTTTGAGAAAGTAATCCATTACTATCATTTTTTCCATTGTTGAAAAAAAATTACTGCACTTTACATTACTTTATATTTTGCACTCTTGATTATTTTTCTACTACTTTATTTTATCTTTTAGAGAGTTAAACCTTAAGATATATTGGGACATGGTATAAAACTTGACAAATTCATTTCAGAATACCTCTAAAATGTTCATATGGAAACTTATGAAAGCAATGAGAAACTGTTACATGTTACATCAAAACAGTAAGATAATACTTGTTCATAACTTTTGATATAGCTTTTAAAAATCCCCCTCATTAACTAGTTACTTCCAGGCTCTGAAGATTGCTATTATTTTTTGCTTTTAAAACAGTGTTTTTCTCTTTTTTTCCCTTACATATCTGCAGGTTGTTTAGTGACCACTGAAGTTTCACAGAACAGTAAAGAAACCTGACAACTAGGAGATGCTTATTAAGATAATTATTTTTAACTCAGCATGAAGAGAATTGTATGATATCTGCCTATTCTATTTAAATAGAATAGTTAAAATGAGAAGCCTCTCAAAAACTGGGGGAGCAGAAGATGAATTCATCACTAACCTGATTGAACATTTTGTGTTGTTGTTGTATGCTTTTAAATCATTTTGAACTTATGACAATACTAAGGTGAACCTATCACAGGGTTTTCTGAAGCTATGAGTGTGTGACTTGCCCAAGGTCACCCAGTGGGTTTCCATGGCTAAGTCATAGCCCAAAGCTCAGACCACTACACCACAGTGGCTATCAACATACAGAACATTGATTGATTGATTGTTCACAGATGATTAAAACCCAAACTTTTAAGAGTTATACTTTGGGTTTGGGTGGACAAAAAAAAAATAAGTTTGCTTTTCTCAAATGTTGATTTCTCTTTCCTTCCTGAATGTGGAAAAAATTAAGAATTGTAAATTTGTATCAACTCAAGAGCCTTATCACATGAGAATGAAAACTGAAACAGAATGGGGGAGTTGTGGGTTTCTCCTTGCCTCTCTGCATGCTGTTGTAGCACTTCTGTTCTCTCCTGAGGGAAATAGTAGTAAAAGCATGCCTTTTGCCAAACAATTTTTTCCAGTGCAACAAAAGGCACACTGTTGTTGCTGTTGTTGTTGTTGTTGTTGTTATTCCACTTTTCTCCCAAGATTGGGACCCAAGGAAGCTTACAGTCTAAAATAACTGTCTCCCTTGGGAAGTAAACAGTAGTGCTACGACAGCATATGGAGAGGCACAGAGAAAGCCACTACTCTTCCACTTCATTTCAGCTTTCTTTTCTTGTGTAATAAGGTTAAAGAAGGGGTTTACAACTGAGTACAGCAGTGTTTTAAAAGTGGTTTTTCTTTGAACACTTCATTCCAAATGAAGGGTGGCCTTCCATTTGTTTTAATTGTATTGCATTTATTTTAATCTGTGCTGCCTTGAGCACTGGTTTTTGAAGAAAAGGTGTGATATACATGAAGTTCATTACTTCTATCAGTCTGGTTTCTCCAGATGAGGTAATGCATTGGAAGGTTAAAATATCTGTTTTAACCTCTGTACTGACTTTCAGCTCTTTATACTGACCTCCAGCATCTTTGGTTATCTGTCTTCCTGGTGAATTGAATACTGATCTCTATCAAAGTAAAGGGAGGGGGGGTTTCCCCATTCAACACTGGAAAAAAATAGAAAATTTCAACGTTTCTTCATATTCAGGATGGAAACAAGTGGAGATTTTTAAAAATAGAATGCAGGGGAAATGATTGGAAGAGTTTTCCATTTCTAGTCTATAACTCTGTTCTGGAAAGGTGGGGTGGGAGATAATCTCCTTCCATATTATGGTTCTTCTGTAGATATACTTCTTTATATGCTGGCCCAAGAAAAGGACCAGAAGTATGCCAGGCACTACTTATAGTTATTTCTTATGAGAGAAAAACTGGGCTCTAGCTGACAAAAGTAAGCCTTGAGGGACCATAAGGGAAATACATATGTCACAAGATTTATCCCTATAGGTTTAAATAGAAATTGGAACATTTTAAGTGCCAGTTATATGATCTCTGCTGTACTTTTCCTCTTTCAAGGTCAAGAATGTGGCATTTGGAGAGCTCTTGAGAATATGATTAGGGAGAGCAGAGGAAGTCATTGTTCCTATGAGACATTGGAGCGGATATAGCTCCATTTGGTCAGCTGAATGTTGCTTTGAACTTATGACATCAGGAGGAAGTATTTAATTAATATGCAATATTGAAGACACAGTTGGATTAAAAGAACATCAAGCTGAACCTTGAAGCAAACAAGCTCATAACTGTATTCATGGATCACTGAAGCAAGCAAAACAATTTATTTTGTAAGATTTCATGTTTGTTTGCCCAACACTGTATAGGGTAGCATTTCCATTAGCTATGATTTAGTTTTCCAGTATTTACTGCCATGAATATCCCCCATTTTGGATTTGGTTCTGCATATGCAACAGGGATTTGAACAGCTGTAAGTTACATCAGAGTCTAGCTAGTTATATTCCCCCCGTAATTCATCACTCAAACTATGTGAATCATATCTTTTCATGAATGCAAGTTCATTTACAGTCGAGTGCTTCCACTCTAAGGTAAAAACATTACCTACTGTAGAAACTGAGATTGCCTCTCCCAAAACCTGTTTTGTACAGCATCCTTAACAATCTGATGGTTGCATATCATATCAAAAATGACAAGGGGATGCAGCTAATTATTACAGTTGCTGAACATCCAGTGCATTATGCTACTGACTGACTAATCTTTCAAGATGATCATAGAATCATAGAGTTGGAAGAGACCACAAGAGCCATCCAGTCCAATCCCCTGCAACGCAGGAATTCTCAATCAAAGCATTCCTGACAAATGGCCATTCAACCTCTGTTTAAAGACCTCCAAAGAAGGAGACTCCATCACACTCCAAGGGAGTGTGTTCCACTGTCAAATAGCTCTCACTTTCAGGATGTCCCTCCTAATGTTGAGGTGGAAACTTTTACTGTAGCTTCCATCCATTGAGCCATGTCCTGTTCTCTGAAGAAGCAGAAAACAAGCTTGCTCCATCCTCAATTTGACATCCTTTCAAATATTTAAACAAGGCTAATCAGCTGTTTCACTGGAGGGAGGGAGCTAGTGGTTCAAGGGATTTTCCTAGAAGAAAATCCATTTCCTGCAAGGAAATGAAGAGTGCACTCATCCCTCTACATTTGCAGCTTTGACTTTTGTGGATTTGATTATTCATGGATTTTATTAATATGTTCTCTCTAGGAATATCTAGTTCCTCCAGCACAACTCTATGGTCAACTTTATAATAATAATAAAAATTGCAATGATGGACCTAGAAATTCCTAGAGAGAATCTTCCACTAGGCATTTGTAGCTCTTCCAGTGCAATTCTATGGTCAATGTCTGGCAGATGTTGACCACAGAGTTGCACTAGAGGACCTAGAGATTCCTAGAGAGGTGTTCTCTCAGGTAAAAACATAGTGTCTTTGTTACTTGCAGTTTTTCCACATTCATGGGGGTCCTGTGCCCCTAACTCCAGTAAATGTGGAGGGACGAGTGTGTATACTATGTA